CATTGCCGAGCTTGTTACTGAAGCGTTTTTATACATGGCAATCTTCTGCCAATTTTATTCTTTTAGTTTGTCAGAATTTTCACTGATTTTAATTTTTGAGACCACACGCTGAAATCTGCTAATATCATGATTCATATTCACACGGTTTTAATATAATATACCGATTTTTGTATTTACCTGATTTAAAAGTTTCACATTGTGAATCATTTTTACATGATTTAAAAAAAATCATTCACAGTGGTCAGTGATTCGCATTTACTTAATTTAAAAATTAAATATCGGAATTTGTTTGCACGCGTTTTAAAAATCCAGCATTTTGATTTGGATTCACAAGTTTTTTAAATTCAATATTGAGATTCGCACTCACACATTTGTAATATTGAACATCGATTTTCGTTACACTTTGAGATTAAATTACACTTGGAGATTTGTATTCTTGTCTAAAAAAATTTCGCGATTCTTGTAAGAAATTTTTACAAGAATCTTGACAATCTTAAATTACTTACCATAAAAGTGTGATATTCTTCATTGGTAGGTAATTTAATTACAAATCCTAGGCCAAAAACATGTAGAGTAAATAAATTTATCAAGTTTTTGCACATAAAATTTTTTGGGTTTCTCACTTAGTGTAGCAATCACCCCTATATAATCTTTATCAATGATAGTTTTTCCCTTATAATTGAATACCAGATATCATTTTTGCCTTGATATTTTTATATTTATGTATGAATAATTATAGCTGTTTTCATTTTTTCTTTGCAGAATGTGGGACGACGATTTTGAACCAGCTTCAACTAATAATGTAAGTTTTTTAGTTAATACTAATTAGCATTTTTTAACAAAGCAAAATGAATATATTTTACTGTACGAGTTAGCAAAAAAAGTGAAGACTAGAGTGTGTAATATAAGAAAAATAGTGGATCTATTTTATTTCAACCAAAATAAAAAAAAGGGACAAATATATCACAATTCTTTTGCCACTAATCTGAATTTGTATCAAAATTCCCACTCACTTTAATTTTTTATTAAGGAAAATGCAAAAAAGTTCACTATTTCTGAAGTGAACTATCTTTTAAACTTTTGAGATTTCAGATTCCTTTTTTATATCTATTTCAAATTCTATCTGAAGCCAGTCATTATTGATTTTTTTAATTCTCAAATTAGAATAGAAAAATCGGACATTTCTTTCCCCTTTGATATGCAAGAAAGACATTTTTTCAGTATAATTTTACAGAATAAAATTTTTTCTAAAGTTTCTACAAAAAAGAAATTTTCTTACCGTGGAAAATATTGCTTTGCAAGGATTCTGAACTCATTTTATTAACTGAATTGTTTCTAATTTTAATTCATTTTTTGCAACCTGAGCAAAAATACAAAACTTAAAAAAAAGGACTAAACTAGGAAATTCTTATAGGATCAATGCTATTCACTTTGCCTTCTAAATACATTTGCAGAAGGATACATTAAAAATTTTAAAAGTTATATTAGCTATAAGAAAAAGGTTCTTCGGTTAGTAACGAACAATCATCTTATCTTACCCATATTTTGCTGAAAATTAAGCTAGCAAAATAAGATTTGTGTGAAGCAAAGCATTCAGTTAAAATTGAATCTATAAAATTTTTCTTAAATTTCAATGATCAAATGTATAACAGATTATATGAAACAGGTTGCATTGTATTTTATTGTAATAACAATTGTATTTAGTTAGCTTATATAGTAAATGATTTTTTCTTTTAGAATTCGAATGGAGTAAATGGTTCCCAGAATGGATTCTAGTAAGTATTTATAGAATGTTTTATTTTGATAAGGAATTCTTTTATAGTTATTGTTAATTAATAGTGATTGTAATTTTTATAATTGTTAATTAAACTGAGATGTTAAAATCATGTGTTTTCCAATTTTGATTAGTATTTCCTGCATACGGAAATGTAAATATTTTTTTAATACCTAAATTTAATGAATAAAAATTAAACTATATTTTTTTTTGAACAGAATATCTTTTTTTAGTCATAATTAATATTTTTGCGGAAAAATTTAGAGATTATATATTTATCAAAAATTACTTGCTATATGGCTACAATACATTTTTAACACAACTTGATGCTTTTAAGGTCGAAAGACTATTTTGTAGCTTACTTTTTATTAAATTCTGCTTCTAGAAGCGTATCTTTTATTTCTCTAATTTGTATGCATAATGTCAATTATTTGAGCTTCTGACAGGCTTCTGCTTTTTTAGTATATTTACTGAATTAAATAGTGAAGTGTTTTCATAATCTTTTTGGTGCTAATTCATGAATACCTCAAATAAACTTACAAATTTCACTTCTCGTGCTCGTGCCATTTCAATATTTTTTAAATTCAATATTTAATAAAGAAGGGCCATTTCAATATTTAATAAAGAAGGGCGGGATGCTTTCTCAGTAAAAAGGGTTTAAAAGGGAAATAAAGTTTTAAAATTTAAAATCGCTTAAAACATATTTTAATATACCCTGAAAGGACACTTTTTTCGGGGGTTTAACCAGTAACTTGCTTGTAAATAACTCGAAGCCACCTCCAAAAAAAGAAAACTATAAATGTTTTTTTTTTTTTAAGTAATGCATTTGGCTTCTTGGTGATTGCAATTGGTGCGGCAGATCTTGAAACTGAAATATCCCCATATCAGCTCTGATTAATTATATTCCATATTTAGTGAATGTCTTAATTTTTAAAAAAATTTGTATTTGTTTTAGTGTGGGAAGAGGCAGAGGATTTGGGAATATGTCTTCAATGAATGATGCTCTTCCTGAAATTGGTATGTAATTTTTTTCCTGCAAAGTAATTTTCTACACAAGTAAGAAGTAAGGTTAAAATTTTGCCCAGAAGAAACCTATTTCTTCTTACTGAAAAGTAATTGATTACAAAAATTTTTTGCAAATAAGAATGATCACAATTATGTATGCATATAAATTACAAGCTGTGTTTTTTTTTTTAAATTGCAGTTTTATTTGCATGAGATAAAACTTCAGAGATTTTTAAATTTGGCCCCTTCAATAGTTTTCTTCCAAGAGTCTGGAAATTTCCATTGCTTATTAATATTAGAGGCTATCATCTTAGTAGGCCTTGGTTTGTTTCTTTCTTGCACTTGTATTAACGTTTTACATATAATGGAAACCTCTTTCAGCTGCAGCAAAGCTTACTGAATTTAATAAACAAGGTCCACCCTAAGCATTTATCAACTCACCAAATATGATAATAATGTGAATTTTGCAAAGCAAATAGTGTTTTGGTGAGTAAGTGTTGGCAAGTAATTTCTTAGCTGCTACTATCCAGAAATTCCTGTATACTCCACAAGCTCAGAATAAACAATATGGCTGTTTTCCTCCTTCACTGTTGAATGTTTGATGCCACATGATAAAATTATTGCTTTCACGTAGTGTTTGTATACAATTAAGTTTAGTCTCCTGATGGAGAGCAGTATTTTTTAATTTCCACTCGGCACGCTTTGCCGAGCCGGACAGCCCTGTATCATCTGATGACAGGAAATTACAATGTAATTGTCAGAAATCAAATGTTGTAATAACATTGTATAAAAAATATCAGAAGTTTAAAAAGAATATGAAAAGGAAGGGACTGATGAAATTATGAGTAACTACCGAAAAACCTATAATAAAACAATGAGAAATACTGATATAATCGCAAATTGAACAAATCATAGTGATAACCCAAATTTCAATTTTGAACATTTTAAATGATGTGAAACTAAGATGGAATTGCTATGAATCGAACGCTTCAAAGAAGTGAGAACTCAAGTTCAGAGCATAGTTCCAAAAAGGCAGCATCAAAGGCTCTAATTGTCACGAAGTGAACACGTTATAAAGTGATAACGCAAATTTGGAATTTGAGCTGCAACTTTATGTATCGTATTAGGTATATCAAATTTAAAAAACAGAAGACGTAAGAAAACTGTCAAACGGGTAATTATGGCCGGAAAACTATTTATTGCTGCCCAAGAAAGGAATCCGGAAACCACAAGAATTTACAAAATATTGGCTCCTATAGTTTTTTCCCTTTAATATATCAGCACATAATCTGGTTCAAAGGACGTGCAATGCGTAATTTTTTCTTTAAAGAACAAACGTGTGTCCTGTCCCTCAAAACCCACCAACCTTACATTGCACAGAGTATACCTTTTCCTTTTTTGAAATTAAGTGTTTTTACAAAAATAAAGAGATGTTATTCTTCAAATCGTTCTGATAATTCATGGTGCATGGTTTTTACAGTATAGTATGCTTTAGTGCTGAAAGATGCTTATTTTCATTTACTATTTAAAAACTGCTTGATATTCCCTTTATTGAAAAGGAAATTTTTATTTCTTACATGTCTATTTTTGCCATGTATTATGCAAAACGGAGGTTTACACATTGTTCTATTAAGTGTTTTTGCAATCCGTTAAACTACAATCTATTTCAGTGTACTGTTCGATCCATAGCGTATGAAATTTGAAATCTCCAATCATTTTACATGTTTGATGGAATACTTAGATTCCATGTGCATCTACTGAGCTGGGTTCAATGAAATACCAACACTCTCATGTGCAACTCTGCTGTATTTTCCCACCTTCTGAAATCGAACTGAAAAATTGTTCTTTTTATATTGGCTGATAAAAATCAAGAAAAGTTTTTTTTTGTCAGAAACTAGTTATTTTATGATTATGTAAAGACTTAAAAAAATTATTTTGCATTTTATTAATGTAAATAGTACTTAAAAGGTGCTTATTTTTTGTTGAAAGATGTAATACACACCCTGTAATTGGTTTATTTACAGTGCTTTAGCTATCTAATTCTATTCAAGTTTTCCTGTATTATGTTAAATTGATCAATGTTTTATTTAAATTTGTTACTGTCACAAATTTATAAATGTATATGTAAAATTAAATTTTTTCTTGAATATGTTTAAATTATAAAAGCTAAGCTGATTTTTAAGAAAGAAAATTTCCAAGTTCAAATCAAAATTATATTTTAATATATTAACAGATTTGTGAAATATTTATCTGAATTTCAAATTGTCTGTAACCATATTTTTTAATGTAATTCAATTAGTTTTACTCTAAAGTAAAGATTTCTAATGAAATAAAGTTAATCTTGTTCTTAATAAAATGTAGGAACAAAATCCAGTGATAACGGCTGGGAACCCGTGAATACTCAACCATCATCAGGTTGGCAAGATGATGGATGGGATGAAACTCCTTCAAACAACAATCAGAATTATTCTAGCAGTAATAATTATAACAGTTCAAACAGCTATGATTCTAAACCAAGAGGTATTATTAATTTTTGTTATAATTGTATCTGGCTGCCTTATTGAATCGTGTCATTTTGAATTACATGGTGTATAAAAGCTTATTTTTTATTTTTAACCATACAATTTCTTTATTATAGCATCTAATAATTGCATCGAATGAAAGACATTTTACTTATTGTCCCTGTGGCAGAATCATGGCGACATTGTCGCAGAACTTTACAGAGTTCTTGCAGAAAGATTTTTCTTTTGAGAAGTAAAAAATTTTGGTTTGTTTTTCATCAGAAATTTCCACGCAAAATTCGAATCGCGCATTTAAATAATCACTTTTTGAAGCCCTCAATTAATGCCGTTATCGTTAATCCATTTTGATTGTATTTTCATCAGTTATTGACATTGATTTTCACGTGGCGTTTAGATGTCCGGATGTATTTCAAGTAGGTGATATGGGAAATTCGAATTGCGCATTTGATCATTTACTTTTTAAGGCAATCATTTTATCAATTTTTTGGGCATTTATTGCTTTTGATTTCCACATTGTTCTTAAAACCCGATATTTTTCATACGGTGTTATTTTCTACAACAATCAAATCTGAAAATGAAACATTGCATTTGATTAACACCCTTCTGAAGAGTCCGATTCGCATGATTTCATCGTCGATCTGTTTTTCGTTTATTGCTGCTACAGATTTCATTATGTTGAATTATTTTTTTAATGTAAGATGATTTGCAAAATGCGATAAAGGAAATAATTAGTGCGCCCTCCAATAATATGTGAGAATATTGCCCATAGATTGTTTTTTTTTTTGTTTTTGTAAACACAGCGTTTTAATTACCTTTAATTAGCAACATTCATCTTTGGTATTATTGAATGTACATTGCAGAAAGATATTAGTGCTAGAGAGTTTTGTCGCAGAAAGCCCGAAAAAATTCTGTCACTGGGCTTATTGTATTATTATATTTCAATAAAACTGTATTAAAGGAAACTCTTTCCACCTAAATAGTCTGCTTAAGACATGTAATAAGTAACAAGATTAGCTGTCGTCACATGTCTACTCAATAAAGTGGCCATCGAATAAAATAAAATAAAAATTACCATCATTCGCAACTCACTTGCTTAATCTCTTTTTGTCATTTGACATCCCCATAGAAAATTTTCAATAACTAGAAACAGTTTTCAATGACCTGTTTATTTTTTAATTAAACTTTTCACAATGTGTATGGCAATGAATTTCTTATAAGGGGTCATTGGATTTTAATTTTTTTTAAATCTATTTAAATGAAAGGATATGTACATAAACTATTTTTATGCACCTATGGATTGTTGACAAAGCTAACCACAGATGACGCTAGGGGTTAAAATTCGTCGAAAGACTTCCCGGTTGCTTCTAATTGATTTTTAAGTTAAAACGTGAAATAAGTGATAACAGTAAAATAACTGATAACACTTAAAACATTCCAAACTTTACACTTTCTGTTGTGATATTAGTTTTCCTACATTTGTTTTTGACTCACAATCAGTTAGAATTTATAGTTGCAGGAAAATCTTGTGAATGGTAAAATGATGCATAATTTATAAATCACATTAACTAAACTTTCTAGAATATGGGCCTGTTCACACATCACCTCATAAGTGGACGGATATACAGGAGTTTTTATAAGTTTCTTCTGGTTTTAGGAAGCTTGTTATTGTTTACCTTTAGTCAACCATCCATATACGAGAAGAAAGTGAGTACTATATATTGAGGGCAGGGATGAGATTTTTCCGCTTTTTTTACTTTTGTGTCTCGAATATTCGCCTTTTTATCAAATTCCTAAAAGTTTCTCTTTTTAAAAAAATATTTTTTTTAAAATAAAGATTTTACTTTTTCGAAAAATTTAGCCGTTGAAATAAAATACTTGTATTTATTTCCGATTTTCAAAGATAAACAGAAAATTCAACCTACATATCTATCAATCCTTCCACATTTTTACATCTTAGCTATTTTCTCCGCTTTTACGCACAGAAGATACGATTTTCCTCATTTTTACCCGCCTGCCAGATAGTTCCTAGTTTCGTACTTCAAGCTTTTTAAAAGTCTCAAGCCCGGAATTTGCTAACATTTCGATTCTTATGCACATAATTTGAATATACTACAATATGATTCTTATTTACGAGATTTAAAAATCCAATATCACTGTTTGTATTTACAAGTTTTTAAAAACCTATGTAACGATTCGTATTCACACGAGTTTAAAATCAATTATTCCGATTCTTGTAAGAAGTAGGTTTTTTTAAAATTAGTTACTATAAATGTGACTGTTTTTCCATCAACAATTATTAGCATATATAGGCATATTCAAAACTTACATTCTGTGCTTGCAAAGAAGAATGTGACAAAGGCAGATAAAGAAAGAAAAAATAGGATTTGTGAAAAGATGGGCTAACGACTAAATTAATCACCCATCTGTTTCCCCTCAATTATAAAATTTTTTGTGGAAAGTTTTTTTAACTCAGCACCGAATAATGCTGCTGTTATTTATGATATAAAATGCAAAATTCTCATCATATGAAAATAATTATCTAAACAGTTGCTGTTTATCATGTAATTTTTTCAAACTAAAATCGCAATTTTTGTTCGTTATCTTAAATTGTCAGGAATTTATTATTAGACAATTGCACACGCGTAAAATTTACTCAAATGGAAATTCAGCTTTTTTGCCTTTTGGCCAATCTCATCCCTGTGAGGGGAAAAATTTTGGATAATTTCTCCTTACAGCAATCACCCTAAAAAACATTTCTAAAGAAGTTTAACAATAGAACTTCACAAAACATCACAATGATTAAGGGGTAAGATTTATCTAAAATAGTGGAATTTGAAAAGGAAAATCAAATAAGGCAAAAGAAGAAAAGAAAAAAAACAAAGAATATGAATATGTAAATAAGACGGTTGCAGAAATTCTAATGTTAAATTAAGAGGCTTTATTTTTCAGAGTTACAATATTTCATTTTGATACAGTAGTTTAAAATTGTTAATGAGAAAAACACATGTTCTGTTTATGAGTCTAAAATCAAGCCTATTGTATACTTGATTTTTTTTTTACCCGGAAACCATACTTTGTGATAACAATATGTATATTATATGTTAAAAAAATTAGAAAATTTAACAATTTAGAAGCACATGTACTTTTAACGTTCAAATTAACATTAATTTAGAATAGAAATATGAAATTTATCAGATCATGATTAAAATACAAAAAAAGGGGGGCATTGCTTACTTGTACAACATGCTTTTTATATTAATTCAAAAATATGACACAGTATACTTAAGTTTTTGAAAGCATTAAAAGGATACTTTAAAATTGATGCAAAATAAATTATTGCTTGTTTGAGACAGTGCCAGTAGCAGAATTTACCGAGTGAACCTGCAACACTATCTTCAGAAATCCTAATTTGTTTGCAATTTCAGCATAGTCAAAGATTAGTATTGTAAAAATTCTGTCTTATCTTGCAAGTATTTGAATTTGAGTTTTATGCAATGATTGTTCTTTGTGGTGTTCTCTCAATTAAGCTATTAGAAACAAGATTAGAGATGTTTTAAAAAGGATTCTCCAGGAATTTTCTCTTTTGTTTGCTTTTTTTTTTAATAAAAAAAAAAGCTTTGATAAAAAATGAGCAGAAGTATTCTGCTGCTGTGCTCGGAGGATTTCTGCTGACAGACTCACAGAGCTAGTTCATTAAAATTCATTCCTTAATATTTTAACATTATAAAGTATTTGTAAATGAAAATTTATAATCTTATTAATATGAACCTTGCTAATTTTGTGTGCCAAAACGTTTTGATAAAATTATAAATCTTATTTTGGTAAAACTTGGAATATTTTTTAATTGTGGGGTCGCATTAGATATTTTTTTTTTAATTTTTTTTTTGTCTGCAAAATTAAAATTTCTTTGAATAAATTTTTAATATCAATTTAAAACATCTCTAAGTGGGCATTAGCATATTTTAATTGTATTAATTACATATGAATAGTTAACTGTTTTACTTACCTGTATAATTTATTATAGAATATTCTAAGACCTACAAAAATTCATCTTATGGTTATTCAAATAGCGAGTCCAGAAATTTTGACAGAAATACGAGTAGGTTTAACAGAGGTACATCTCAGTCTCTATTTGCTTGGAAAACCTGTGTGTCACCTTGCTGCTAATCCTACCTTTACCTTCCTTTTGCAATAAATATTGAAGTGCAAGTTTTGTTTGCTGAATTCAATTCTGTCATAGCATTGTTTGCTTAAAATTTTATGTTTAGCTATTAAAATTAGCAGTGCTTAGTAAAATAAAACTTAAGTTATAACTTAATATAAAGCTCACATACTTTTCTTGCTTAAGATATGGATATAATTGTTTGCTGATAAGTATGTAACTAAATACAAAATCTAAGTAATTGGAATGGTAAAATTCACGAAATCTCTTGGCTATAAACATACCAAGCTATTAAGCTTCCGTGAAACATGGTGTTTAGGTAAATTTCTAATGTATATTTTAATTTTTACTTTATAACGTTCTTACCACTATGTTATTCTGTCAGGATAGTAAAAATTTCTTATTTTCTAAGTAAGTTGTGTAGAAAACAAACTCTTATCTCTCAGAAATTCAAATTAGGTGAAAATGTTAAAAGTAGTTTCAAGTCACCCAAGATACTTATGTTAGTTAATAATATTTCGACTTGTACACTGAAATTAAATTACTTATTTCTTTATTAAAAAAGCTTGCATAAAAATAGTTTCTATTTTTGATGTAGTACAGTACACTCTCGATTATCCGTGCGCGGATTCTCCGGTTTGCGGATTATCCGTGTTCATTCCAGAGTCACACAAAAAATATAACGAGAAACATTTTCAAGATTAAAAAAATTTGATTCATGAAGTTATAACACTACCAAATTTTTGGAAGCAATATTCGTTATTGGATTGCAGTATATGGAATATCAGCAGCATGGTCAAAGGTAAAATCGTCTACGTTATCACGATCTTGGAGAAAGATCATACCGCTTGATGAACAATCCTCTTCAGATGTTCAAGAAAAATATGATAACAGTATTCTCGAACAAGCAAAAGAAATCTAAGGTTTCGAAATTCTTGATGAAGAAAATTTAGAAGATTGGTTTCAAAGTGATGCATGTGAGCCTGGCTTCCAGTATTTGACTGATGAAGACATC